ATGTGACCCTGAGGCAAAAGTTGTTCAGTTTATTTTTCTGCATAATATAGTTTTTTTTCGGATTTTTTTTTTTTTTTTTTTTTTTTTTGTTGGGACCTTACCTTGGTCCTTGCACGGGCTGGCCACCCGGGACCCGGGCGGCCCGGCTGGTAGCTTAGTAAAAATATATATTTTTTATTTTTATTTTTTTAATTGTTTTTGGCTCGGCCGGGCAAGTGACTCCGGGCCACTCTGGTAGCCTAGGAATTAATTAAATTCTTTTTCGACATTTCTTTAAAATTCGAAACTACTTTTAATTCATTCTTTTTCGATTTTTTTTGTAATTCGAAATAATTCAGAATTAATTAAATTCTTTTTCAATATTTATTTTTCAAAATTCGAAAATAATTCTAATTAATTCTTTTTCTCGAATATCTTAATTCATAAAATTCCCCTTTTTACTTTTTGAAATTTCCTTGAAATTTGAAAACGCCTTGTGATCAATTCTTTTTTTTCTTTTTTAAAACTCGAAAATATTTTAGCATTACTTAAATCCTTTTTTGAAATTTTTACGTTTTGCAAAACCATACCCCAAAATTAATTTCGAATAAAATTAAACCCAATTGGAATTTATTTTTCTTGGAAATTAATTATCTCATTTTTCCCTTTTTCGATATTTTCAGCAAAATTTTTTGGAAAATTTCGTTTTACAAGTATTTCTCCTCTGGAAGCTTCTTGAATTTCTTCCCAAGGCGTATTCTCGAATTAACCTCGAATAACATTAATTAATTCGAATCGAAATTAATCCACTTCAATTTTGCAAAATTTACTATTATTCTTTTGTAAATCACCTTCTTTTGATGCTCATGTAAATAGGACCTCCCCCCTCGGGCATGCCACGCTCAACCAGGAACTCTCAACGCGCAGTCGTCGAGGCCGCCGCTGCTGCCGTTGCCTCCATGTCATCTGCTGCTAACTCCTCAGCCGCCGCTACCACCGCTTCCTCAACCACCATGGCCCAATCATCCAACATTGATATGTCCGGCATCCGCACCGACTCAGTGGACAACATCGCCCGCAACCTCACAGGCGAGCAAACACTAGCACCCGATGCCGCCATCGACCTCGCGGCTCTTTTCCGCATGATGACATCTCTCCAGTCATCCATGGACGACATCAAAACATCCGTTTCCACCATCTCTGCTCGGGTAACCACCATTGAAAGTCACACCCCCACCATCCAGGTCGTCACCACCACATCCCCCCCCCCCACCTTGGGTGCCACCTCTGCCTTCATCCACGTCCACTGCCCTCTCCGCTAGCACGTCATCCGCCCTCTCCGCTAGCACGTCATCCACACCTCCGCCTTCATCCACCACTGGCTCCACCTTGGTCACCAAGACGGCAACCCCCGCCGTCACACAGTCTTCAACCATTCTCTCCCAATCAAAACCCCTCATTACTTCATCCACTATCACTTCCACCCATACCCAGATCACCCCCAACCTTGCTCCCCGTTATCCCAATACCTCCTCCGTCCACACTCCTCCCGACCAATCCCACTACGGACTTCACCCGGGTACCGTCCTCCTCACCCAAACTTGATTTCAACACCCTCGCCACCACAACACCCTTAACGGGTAACATCCCCCCATCCTTCCGGTCAACGGATATCCCCCCCTTCACTGGCCTTCCCCACGAGGACGTCTTCGTCTTTCTCGACAAACTATACGATGCCTTCTCCCTCCACAACGTCCTTGTTACACACTGGCTCCCTATTGCCAGCGCCAGGCTATAGGAAGGCACCACTCGTTGGTGGTACACCGAACGAGCTAACTGCCAACACACAACGAGGAACCCCATTCCTTTCTGCAGTGGGCCAATCTCATCACCTGCACATTCCGACCACAAAAGACGGTCGATGACTACTTTGAGCAACTCTGTCGTCTTCGGCACAACGGCCCGACCGACCGCTTTGTCCAATACGTCCGTGCGTTGCGGCAACGTATCCCCCTTGACTACGTCAGCGGTGCCGCATTCATCTCCCGCTTCAAACGGGGATGCCGCAAGGACCTAGCCGCCTCCCTCGTCCATGACCCCCCAATGTCTATCTCCGATCTCCTCAAACACGGCATTCACCTAGACAAATTCTGCACCCCGTACAAGGACGCACTCACATCCGCCCCCGCCCACGATTCTTCATAACATCGCCGACGAAACCTCTCTCTTTGCGTCCTCGGACGAGTTCTCTGCCCCCGACCCCGACATCCTCTCCGACCCACTAGACACCACATCGCTCTCCTCTGACGAACTCTCCGCCATTCACCTCATGCGACATGGAAAAGAGAGAACGCTTCTGTCATCCTCCCATGAACACCCACCCAACCCGTCTCACGAAACTCACCCTGGAGGAGCGAACCTACCTCCAAGCAAAGGGTGGTTGTTTCTGGTGCCGACAGTTAGGACATCTACAGACAAACTGCCCAAATGCCGGACAGTTCCCATGTCAGGCACCCAGGTCCGCGCCCCCCCGACCCGCAGTTTCCACATCCGCCACTCCCGGTCCCTCCACATGAACACCGTCCCCAGGATCACCATGAACCCGTCCCGACATCGATGACTAGTTTGCCAGCCATCCCATCGGTGACAACCTCCACCCCACCGGTGGCCCATTTGGCATCGACAATATGTCTGCCTCCCCCCTCTCTGGTGTAGCACATCCCACTGGACGACCCCCAGGCGTCGCAACCCTCGTTGCCTGACGCCCCCCTCACCGCCACATGTTCCGCAACCCTCCTTCCAAATCCATCCTCTGTCACCTTCTCTAATTTTGTTGAGGAACAAGCTCGACTCGATCGGCTTGTCCGATTAGGCAATGAACAAGCCCGCCTCAACACCACTATCTCCACCACCAACTCATCACGTTTTCACCTCAAATTCATCGCCGCCACCCTTGGTGCGACTACGACTAAGTTTCGGGCCCTTCTTGACATTGGAGCCACTGGTAACTTCATCACTGACGCATGTGTCTAGAAAGCCGGTCTTACCTCTACTGGTTATGACTCCCCGATTACGATTCGTTTAGGGGACAAAAACACCGCCGTCGTAGTAGACCGCATGGTTCCCGAGACCACCATGATTGTCGGAACCCTCTGCAGTCAGGTCTTATTCGATGTGATGCGCTTAATGTGCGACATCGTTTTGGGAACACTGTGGCTGGACCGCTACATGCCATACTCATTCCACCCCAACTTCATCCGCCTTACCAACCCCCCTGACACAACCATCGACATTCCCTATCTCCCCTATCCCTCCTCCCCAAGCTTCGTCACCGTGCACCAATTCCTTCACATGGCTCGTACGTACTCTGACTCCACCTACTATTGCCTTGTCCTTCATCGCGAGCGTCCGGAGGACTTGCTCCCAACGGACAAACCCGACCAAGCTCCCCTTTCGACCCCGCCCTCACCTCCATCCTCGACGAGTTCAAGGACATCTTCCCTGAGTCCTTACCCGCCGGATTACCTCCGGATCGTGGTGTGTCCCACACCATCGATTTGCAGCCCGGTCACTCTCCACCTTGCCGCCCTCCGTACCAACTCTCCATTCCGGAAGCCGAAGAAATGAAGCGGCAACTCAATGAAGTCCTTGAAAAAGGATTCATTAAGCCAAGTTCATCCCCCTTCGGCGCAAACTGCCTTTTTGTCAAGAAAGGCGGAACATCGGAACTCCAGATGTGCATAGACTACCGCGCCTTGAATTGGATCACGATCAAGAACAAGTACTCCCTACCTCGGATCCCCGAGCTTCTTGATCACCTTCGTGGAGCCAAATACTTTACCAAAATTGACCTCCGCAGTGGCTTCCACCAGATCCGCATCCGCGAGGAGGACACCCACAAGACCGCATTTCGTTCTCGCTTTGGGCACTGCGAGTTCCTTGTAATGCCCTTTGGACTCACCAACGCCCCTGCCACATTCCAATCCACCATGAATCACATCTTCCGCGACCTCCTCGAAGTCTGTGTCGTCGTTTACCTCGATGACATCCTTGTCCATAGCCCCACCTTCGAGTCCCACCTTCAACATCTCTGCCAAGTCCTCTCTATCCTCAAAGAGCAAAAATTCTACGCCAAGCTCAACAAATGCACCTTTGCCGCTTCAAGCATTGAATACCTTGGCCATATCGTCTCCGCTGAAGGAATACGCATGGACCCCTCGAAGGTCACCGCACTCATCGAGTATCCACCACCCAAGACCCTACTCCAACTTCCCTCATTTCTCGGCCTTGCTAACTACTACCGCCCCTTTATTTGCAACTTCTCCGACATCTCATACCCCCTCCACGAACTCACCCGCAAGGACGAACCCTTCACTTGGAACGACCGCCGCCAAAACACCTTCGGCTTCCTCAAACAAACCATCACCACGGTCCCCGTCCTGAAGATCGCCGACCCCTCTCGGCATTTCGACGTTACCATTGACGCATCGGAATTCACCCTTGGAGTCGTCCTATCCCAACACTTCCCTCACGACACCTCTGAAACCCCCTCCATCAAAGACTCCCCCACCCACCCCGAGGCTTCACCCGGCGAGTACCCCATCGCCTTTGCTAGCAAGAAGCTCCTTCCCGCGGAGATGAACTACCCCTCCAACGAGAAGGAACTCCTCGCCGTGATCCACACCCTCAAAGTTTGGCACTCGTACCTCGACGGGCAATACTTCACCATCCGTACGGACAACACCATCGTCTCCTCTATCCTCCCTAAGAAAGACATCACGCCGCACCAAGCCCGTTGGTTAGACTTTCTTGCCCAATTTACATTCACCATTCGCCACACCCCCGACAAAAGCAACCACGTTGTCGATGCCCTCTCTCGACGCCCCGACCACAAGCCCTTTGAGAAAGTCTACGCCGCGAGGACTCATATCCAACTCCTCCCATCACTCCACCACCGCTATACCCAAGGCTACCTCTGTTGCCCGGATTTCTCAACAATCTACAACAAACTTTGTGACCTCGACTCAGTCCCCGACTACTCCCTTCACGACCAACTTCTTTACATTGACACCAAAGGCACTCGCCGCCTTTGCGTCCCCGACGCATGTGGCTTCCGTACGCAACTCTTGGTCGAGCATCACGACGCCAAGATTGCGGGACACCTCGGGTTCCAGAAAACCTTCGACACCATCTCTCGTTACTTCTACAGGCTTTCCCTACTCGCTGACGTCAAAGCTTACATTCGCTCATGCCCCACATGTCAAGCCTTCAACCCCTCCAACCACGCCAAACCCGACAAGCTATAATCATTGTCGATCCCCACCCACTGATGGCAGTCCATCTCCATGGACTCCGTCTGTGGTTTCCCCAAGACCGACCGTGGACATGATTGCATCTATGTCATTATTTGTCGCCTGACTAAACGCGCCCACTCCATACCTTGCACCACGTTGCACGACGCAAAGGACGTCACCATTCTCTTGTTCGACCATGTCGTACACCATCACGGTCTACCCGAGAACATCATCGGCAACCATGATCCTCGCTTCCTTTCACAATTATGGAAACACCTCTTTAAAGCCTACGGAACCACGCTTAAGTATAGCACTGCATTCCACCCACAGACCGATGGACAAACCGAGAAGATGAACGATACTATCCAAAGAATCCTGAGGAAGTATTGTCATCCACATCAACACAATTGGGATCAGTTGCTCACCGCCGCCTAGATTGCCTTTAACAATGCTGCTTGTCCTTCTACTGGCATGACTCCATTCTACCTCGACCTTGGCTATCATCCGCGCTTGCCCTCCGACTTCTTGCTCCCCTCGCAACTCAACCCCTCCACCCCCTGCCCTTCTCTCAATGAATGGGTAGCAACAATGAATAGACTCCTCAGAGAAGCCACCGAAGCCCTTGAACGAACACAAGAACAACAAACACAGATGGGACGTAACATTCAAAGTAGGGGACAAAGTCTGGCTCTCCGCCAAACACTTTGAACCCAAACATGGCTTGTCCAAAAAACTCTCGAACAAGTGGCTCGGACCATTCCCCATCATTGAACAAACCTCCCATGTCAATTACAAGCTCCAACTCCCTCCTGACATGAGTCATGTCCACCCTGTCTTCCATGTAGAATGCCTAAAAGAGTGCCATGAATCCCCACCCCAATTCGCTGACCGCCCATATCCTAGACCTCCACCAATCATGCTCTCACAGGCCCTGAATTTATCGTCGAAGCTATCATAGGACGAAGAACTACTCAAGTATCAGACCATCCGGAACCAATCACATAATACGCAGTTAAATGGACTGGATACCCTGACGAAGAATCCACTTGGGAACCTCTTCCTAACCTTAAGGATGCTATGAAACTTGTTCGCACCTATGATCGTGCTCACCCTATATCGTAGATACATAATATAACTTAAACCCTAAACCCTTGCATAAACCCCGCCTTGACCTCGCCAAAACCCCGCATTCCTGCTCTACACACACCCCTGAACCCAGCGAAGCCCTTGCCTCTTGAACCCACCCCTGTCTGATCTGCCCTTGTCTCATCCTTGCCCCGTTCTCCCATCTGTCCTCCGCCACATCCTTGTCTGTCTTGTCCAAGTTCTCTATGTGGCCCCTACACGTCGACAGCGATAATGGATCTAATGGCAAGCGCACGAGGACGATGGCATGCTGCAGCTCAGTACGAGGAGATAAGACAGCTGGTTGGCCACCATGCTGTTCCCTTTGGCCGGCACCTTGGACTTGCAGACTTCTGGAGCAGCACCTCTGACATGGATATCAAGATCAGTCTGTGACCTGCTATCCGGATCAGACCTCATCATCAGATCGTGTACCGGACGCAACCTGCCACTGCGACAATCAATCCGAAGTCCTCGCCGTCTACATCACAGAATTGTTGAAGACTGTTTCCTCACCACCACTTCTGCAACACCCTCCAAGACCTTCCTCAAGACATTTCTTCGCTTTTGACACTTTGTTACAGACCTGAGACGTTGTTTTCTAGACCCCTCAGACACCCCAGCACTTGAGCATTGAACAAACAATTTTTATTTTTATTTTTCTCAAACCTGACAACCTATAACCTTGTAGAACACCAATAGGACTGCCCTGTTACTTGTAGAACCTTAATAGCCGCCACCACTTCTGCAACACCCTCCAAGACCTTCCTCAAGACATTTCTTCGCTTTTGACACTTCGTTACAGACCTGAGATGTTGTTTTCCTAGACCCCTCAGACACCCCAGCACTTGAGCATTGAACAAACAGTTTTTTTTTTTTTTTTTTCTCAAACCTGACAACCTATAACCTTGTAGAACACCAATAGGACTGCCCTGTTACTTGTAGAACCTCAATAGGATTACCCTGTTACTTGAGCATTGATTCCCTCATCCTTGTAGAACCTCAATAGGATTACCCTGTTACTTGAGCA